ACACACATGCTGCATCAATCAGGCCTCAGTATGAAAAACAGGTGGGAAGGCACTGGTCAGCATGAAAATAAGCAAAGCTCTAATTTTGGCTTTGTTTTAGTGATTGTACTTAGAGAGGCCTCCTCTTTTTGCCAGATACAGATGACTATTATTTCCCATCCAGTGATTTGTGACAAAGAACCTAGCATAGGAGCTGACAAGGCAAAATAATATCCAAGAGTGGATTCCCCACTCATATAAAGCAATGTTCTCCAAGACAGACCTCACAGTTGCCTTCATTGTCTACAGGTGTCTTTTGGGCACACCTGGAGTGTCTCTGCACACATCACCTCCCTACCCTTGTTGAATTAGCAGCAGGTGGGAGAGAACATTAGTGGGGTTAAAGGCAATACGATCCTAATTTTCACAGTCCCACCTGGAAAAGACATTCCTGGTCCACAGGTGCTTCTCTCAATAAGCCTTACCAAAACACCTACCAGTATATTAACACTAAAAAGCACTAAAAGAGAAAAACAGAGAAGGTATCAAGTAGTTAAATGAGCAGATACAAAAAGGGATGAGGAGATAGCTAAATCTTGACCAAGGGAGAAAAAAAACCAAACAGCTGAAGGGAGCTGGTAAAGCTTAGGGTTTGCATTTTTTTTTTTTTTCCAAGGAGATGGCATTTGTGAGCAGCAATAGCTGCAGAACACAGCACTTTCACAGAAAGGCCACATCCAAGACCCTGAAGCAAATTCAGAGTAGCACAGCATCGAAAACACTCAACAGCTTCCTAACACAGCCAGCACATCCAACAGAGGCAGGAGAGTTCTCTTTCGTACCCAGAATCAAAATATTCAGATGGTACGAACAAGTGTGGAATTACATTTGCCTTTGATTTCCATCAAAATTTTTATCAAGTACATTCCATACATGATCCCAAAAGTCTAGATGTAACCAGCTGTATCACCTGTCCCTCCATCACATGCTCCTCTGCACTAATCACTGCAAAGGATCATTTTCTTCTGGACACTGTTCTTCATGAAAGCAGAATGGCAGACGCCTTCCCCCTCGTGGCACAGACAGGGGCTAACAGTTTCCCTACCAAAGCCAAAACAATTCCTGCTACAGGTGGAAAGAATTCTTGCCCTTCTTTGCCCTTGGAAAGAATTGCACAACTAATTGCACTTTAGACCTTTTTTTTTTTACCCCCAATCTGAGTCGTGAATTGAGAGAATGAGAGAAATTGTGGAAAAAGACCGATAATAACACCTCAGCTTTCTAAGGAACACAATTAAGTGTGTCGGAAGACTCCCAAGCCCCAGATGTGGGCACACATAAGCTCTTGTAAGTACGAACCATTACATGAAGGAATGTAACTCTGGAATTGTCTTAAGGACAGGTTTACTGTACTAACAAAAGCTTTTTTTCACTCAATCAGCTAAAGGAGTACTGTGTGACAGCATATTGCACATTGGCATTTGAATGTAGCTTCCCCTAATTTTTACAATCTACTTTCCTCCATTTATCTGTGACTGAAATATAACAAGTTGCGACAGCTGCACGGTCTTGTCATAAAAGACAATTTAGTGTCATCCAACAATGTTTTGTTTTGATTTAATTTACATTAAAATTAGACCTTAGAAGGAGTATTATACGTCTCTATAAGCAGAAAGCTGCTGTATGATGGATCTTCATTATTAAAGCTGAAGCTCTCCCCACTTCTGAGAACACCACCATAACATTACATCAAGCAAATTACATCAATGTAAAAGTTTATATTATATTTAACTGACGAACCCCTACTACTCAAAATATATTCCATAAATTTCAGTCCTCAGTGCTTGCTGAGGCATTAGCTCACTCCACATCAGAGTTTAAGAATACCAGAACATACTGCAGAGCATATTAAAAACACATTTCTAATACAATTTGTAAATATAATATTCATGTATGATTTAGCTATTTTTTACAAGACAAATGACTGCATAAAATGACATCAGAGTACAAACATCACAAGACACAACACAACTACAGATATTTTTACCTTTTAAAAAAATAATGGGCTTTATATCTTCTTTTCTTCTGGCTTGTAATTAGTACCTAAAATATTTAGCTAGAAGCACAGAATTGAACTGCTAGGTTCAACATGTTTTATTTGTCATACATTAATTCTTGGTTTTCCAATATACAGTGTACTACATTCATATGGTGGCTACAGAGGACCAGCTCTCAAGTTCACGTTCTGCTGGTCCTTCTAACTTACTCTTTTGATGGCAAAGGTAACACAAACAACATGAAGCTAAATCAAACCTGTGGATATCAGCTGATTAGCTTCAGAAGTTCATTTCTTAGATCAGGCCAGTAACAACATGACATACTCACGACACGCTCATGACATACTCACTTCAGCCTTGGACAGTTTAGACCAAGCGCTGTGAGAGAAGCATCTGTCAGGTTGCTACAGCCTGAAACACAGAGTGACTGAAGTCTATGACATCCTCTACAGATTTTTACAATGCCTTCATCTGAAATTTGCTGCAACACAGAAGAAGGTTGAAGTTACTACATTATCAAGTCATCGGCTAAATCCCAAAGTCAAGTCATGTTACTGAACTGTTAGTGTCACATTGTCTATAACCATGGCAACTTGTGGATTTTCAACTGAATATTACTGTCATGAAATTACCTTCATTGATAGCACTGAAGACAACACACAAAATTCCTACTTAACTATGTCTTTTCTCACAGATGTCAAATACTGCTCAAAGGCAGTTTGAAGCACAGAGGGAGAGTTGTTTGGTTTTGTCTTCCTCCATCACTTTGCTTTTGCTTCATAATTTTGACTTTTTTATTTTTATTTTTAATTGTAGTTGTCGCTGTGTGATACAGCTTGTTTCTTACATGTTTGCTGAGTTCAGGTCTTTCGTTCCAGTGACTGTGTAAGTTCTGGAACAGTGCAAAAGAGAGCTTAAAGCTTGGAAGCATGAGATGTAACTACCTATTTTCACTGGAGCAGTAGTACCCAAGGGTAAAAATCCTTCATCTCCAAGTAATTTTCAAAGCAAGAATTACAGGCAGACAATTACATATAATCTGTTCTTCACAGAAGATAAATGTAAAAGTCTCCTGGTTTGAGCCAGGTTATGCAGCTGTCTTTAGTTGAAGTATTTAACTCAAAAGAGGTTTTTCATTTCTCAAATTGTTTTGTACTAGATATTCTGAAAAAAGTAACTCTAAATTTGGAATATGAATAAAAAAGGTTTCTCCTGAAACAGGAACTATAAGAAATAGCCCCGGTGCAGCTGCATACAAAATAGCAACAGGAACTAGGTTATTGGGTGTGTGTGCAAATATTATTTTGTTTACAGGTCTTCTATTCTGGAAAAAGTATTTTCTCCTCCTCCCACTCCTAAGTCCAAGAATTTAATTTTTCTGAATGACTAATCTTTCATAGTGAAATGGGTTATTTTATTTCCTGGCGTAACATTACTCTTCCAATGATAGCAAAGACCTTTACTGTATTTTGACTGAAACTACACATTGCTTTTATAAGCCACTCCTCTAGGTACACTAATACTACTATAGCATGTTCCTGAGGCTATTACCAGGAACATTACCCTTCCTAGACAAAAAAAGGATGAGAAATAGCAGTAGCTCAGCACAAAAGGAGATCACCTTATGCTCCCTCCCCCAACCCAGCACCTCTTAATATCAGTAGGTTAAATTTCCAAATCGTTCTGTCACATAAAAATTATTCCAGACAGAAATCTAGAAGTCTTGTCTTCTTTTTGCAGATCTAGAAGGACCTGCATCATCTACAGATGTGAAGATATTTTCTGGAACTGCTTTGCTCTCTTTGAGAGATACCTTGTGACACTGTTATCGGGAACAGGAACTATTTTGGAGGTAAGGACTACGTCAATCTTATGCTGCTGCTTGAGATGAACAAAACCCTCAAGTTATATGTGAATTTTTTTCCATTCTGAAATTGCCTGTGATTTCAGTGCCTACATCCCTCTCAGGAAAGAAAAGTGCTCAAAAAACGCCTGCAAGTCCCCAGTTTCTACACTCTAAAGATGTCACCTTTCAGATGTGTAGCTTCCGGAGTTAGTATCAGTTTATTTCAGAGCTGCCTGAGCTGGCCTGGCATTTCCAAAGGTCCATAAAACGGAGCCACTCGAATTAAAGTGTGGATCATATAAAGCACAAGGAGACCTGCTGTGTAAAAATCAGTGCTAGCCCTTTGAGCATAAAGAGCCTGGCTGCTTCTGGAAATACACTTCTAAACCACAGCGAGCGGGACACATCTCCTGTGAAATAAAGCTTTAAAGCACACATAACTAGGTAGGACACACAAGACTATCAACTCAAAACATTCAAAGAGAAAAACACTTTCACTTATACGAGGGGTTTTTTAATCAGGAAAAGCTGGCCTTGATATATGTCATTACTCTCAGGTAAAACACAACAGAAAAAGAACTTTGGAGGAGGAGGAGGACAGCAAAAGGAAGAGTGAAAGGGGAGAAAATTACATATTAACCTTATATACTTCAGTGTGGTTCGGACCAAAAGAAGGAACTTCCTTCCACTCCGTTACCTTTAGGTGCCCAACTTCAGTGGGCACCTAAATTCAGATAGAAAAATCTGAAAATTTTCTTTCACTAAACATCTGGCTCATGGAAGCTCAAGCTTTGTATTCATATTGTTCTTAATTTCTGCAGGTTTTTTTAATCGTAACTTTTAATAATTCCTAACACTGCAAAACGTTCAACACTTCAAATAAATCTATTATGTTCAAAAATTTTCATCCAATCTTAATAAAAAATGGTTTCATGCCACATTCATTCAGGGATAACGCATCAAACAGATTTTAAAGTTTTAGCCCAAGCAGATTTTATGATGCCTTCTAGCAATAAAACCATAGAGAACTTTCCAAAAGCAAAAAAAAAAAAATTATAATCCCATAGAGAACTTTCCAAAAGCAAAAAAAAATAAAATAATCTAACAGCTTCATTTTTCAAATTTGCATGACAGAAAAGACTGAAATTCTAATTAATTTCAATGTTTTCTAAGGCTTATTTACAGACAAAAGTGACTTAAATACATTTAAAATCTAAAAGGAGATCTTTCCCATTCCTAAACATTCACATCAGAAACAACAAAGTAACAAATACAAAATAGAGCAAATGTAATTTTTGTGTACTCGCTAAGTAGAATTAAAAGTACATGAATGATTCCCAGTCATTTCATTACAAATGAATGTGTTCTTCCATTACTTTTGAAAAAGCATGCCCTTCTGCTACCTAGATCGGTCTGAATCATTTTCAGTAATGATGCCACTACATTTTACTCTCAATTATGTAGCCCAGAACAAGGTTTCTGCTCAATTAGACACCTTAAAATTATGAATAGACCAAAATGTTTGACCTTAATGGATAGGATAGCAAGAGCTACCTCTCTAAAACAACATGGTTTAGCACATACAGAGTTTATGAGATTTGAATAAATGCAGTCAGTTCTTACTCTAGAGCTTGCTACAGTTAAAAATAACCCAAATACCCCAAATCCACACTCAGCTGTAGAAACAGCCAGCCCATTTAAGACCTCTACTCCACACAAAATTCTGTAGACTGCAGAGAGGTATTATTTGAGTTGTGTGTGTAGCAGATCAATTCATTAGCATCCAAAAATGGTTTATGATTCTTAGAGAATGCACCTTTTGAAGCTTGAAATACTTACTGTACAGGACTGCAAATTCAGGATTACAAGTTCATGACAGTGATTCTGAATGTGTTTCAATGCTTCATCTTCTAACTGCATTTAGCAGTTAAATCAGACATAGGAAAAGAAACAAGAAATTAAAAGCACAGCAAAGCAGCCCAAAGAATGCACACATCTTGTAATATTGAACAAAAGAGAACAAAAATGGTATTTTTTAATTCATGGAGGTTTCAAAAGCCCAAAATAAAATTTTATTCCTAAAGGATCACCCAAGCAGTTATGTACCTGTGTGCAACCTCTAAGAAATAGAGCTTTTAGTCCACTACACCCTTTCACCAGTGCTTCAATACCATCCTTCGTAATCTGATCACACCAGGAAAGATTCAAATGTTCCAGATTTCTGCAACCCTCACTGGGAGAATTAAAAAAATACATAAAGTTAAATCCAGCCTTGAAATAGTCATAACAGTGGGAAACCCAAATTAAACACACTGTTAGAAATTAATGACAGCCAGCGGACTGTGCCAGGCCTCCACAGAAAAGTCACGAGAAAAGACCACACACAAACATCACAGCCTACACCCCAGAAGTGCTAGATATATGATATAGTCAGTGCTGATACACAGTATTAAGGTTCAGCACCGTTTTTTTTTTAAACTTTATTAAATGTTGAACAGCTCTTTAAACGCTTTCCTTTAACACAAAACATTGAATCTTCTTACCTTAAGCCTTTCAAAGAGCTGTTTGTGATGGCTACACAAGATGTCAGATCCAGATGTTTCAGCTTGGAACAGAATCTGCTAAGACTGTAACACGTGCTGCAAAACAGCAGACACACTAAAAATACCTTCAGCTACTTCTTTTTCCAAATTTCTCCATCCAACAAAAAAACCCTTTGACTTACCTGTCAGTGATTTTTGTGCACCCGTTTAGATTTAAGTGTTCGATGTTTCTACAGTTCTGTGCAAAGGTCCTAAAACAGCAAAAAAAAAAAGCCGGAGAATTAATATAATGTCACAAGTTGTCATGCAGTCACTAGAGCGCGCTCTCTCCCCTGCCTCCTCCCATCTCACTCAAAAAGCTTAATCTTCAAGCCACAGCACAATTACAAAGCACATCTCAAACACATCTGTCTCAGTGGCTGCTTTTTCTTGTTGCTATTACAAGTTTCTGTCTTGGGTAACTCCTGAAACGAAGTGTTATTCCTCTCTCAAATACCACTTGAGCAAGGTGTTTATTTCTGTCATATATAAGCCAGAACTGACTTGCTTCAAATGCCTTAACTGAAAACATTATGGGCATAAACAGAATGGTGTAAATATGACATCAGTTAAATATTAAACTGCTGGGGAGAGTTTTCACACATCTCATTAGTGAAGCCTTTGTAGGTCTTATTAGGAGCTCGCTCCTACATCAAATGAAAAGGAACGTACCCTGCGCAATACAGAAGTGGGACCTAAGCCTATCAGACTACCAGTGGAAAGCCCTGGGGGATGCAAATTAGTTATTTATGACTTTAAAAATTAAAATGCATTTGTGTGCACTACTGGGTATGAACTCTAAGGATGACTGGAGCTATTATACTGCTAAAAGCCTGTATGTATCATTACACTAATTACCCAGAAGAAATACATAAACTTTCTTTTCATCTCTGCAGAGTAATATTTACAGCTGCACTGCATTTCAGACCACTGTTTTTATGCCCATGTTTCCTCCAACTGCATGGATTTTATTGGCAGGGGTGAAGGAAACACACAAAAACAGTTTTGTCTGGAGGCTTGCCGTGGTTAACGTATCCGACTACACACTCAGCTGGTAACAACTTCCTGGCTCTCCAGTGTGAACTGAAAACAATGGAAAAAAACCCAGCAAGCGGTTATACTGGTGAGAGTTTCCACTTGAATTCTCAAAACAGCTATTCCAGAATTCATGTACTGGAGGGAGATTTACAATCGAGACACTCTTCAAATCACTTGGAAAGACGCTACACTCTGGAACAACTTGCAGGAACAGCAAACTTTGCCTCTGAGATTCATGCGTGGGGCATGTCCTAACAGAGCTGCCACAAACATTTAGTACTTACATAGCCAATGCCTACTTAGATAATTGGCTACTTTTAAATAAAAGTTGATGCAGAAGAAGTATAAATAGAGAAATGAGTATCACCCACAAAACTAACGGATCTGGAAACAACTCAACACAAAAAAAGCCTGATAGGAAAAGCCACTTTCAGAATAAGTATCTGATAATTAATGCCACCTTTCTCATACTGAAGTCTTGAAAGTCTTAAAGCATTTATCATTCATTTAGTAATTTCAATATAACTTGCTTGTATTTCAGAGGTGAACCATCTTCTTTCCTAAAGTGTCTTAAACACCATCATCCACACCAGTTAGTTACTAGGGATGCACGTGTGAATACCAGTAACACACTGAAGAGAATCTCAGGCCTTCCCCAATTTTGTAGGCACTCAACCTCATCAGTTTTTACTCTTCCTCCCATCACTAAGGGTTACCTCTTGCCCAAACTAGAAGATGAACTATGAACTGACTGACTGCTAATCTTGATGAAACTGTAATTGTAAGACACCAGAGTAAAATAAAAGTCTGAAAAGATTTTACATGCTTGAAATGGAGAGATATCAAGAAAATACTAATGAAAGAAAAAGAAACATTTCTGAAAATCTCAGTTCTCATTTCTCAATTCTTTTCAGAAAATAACAGTAGCTAAACTTTGATGTCAAACTGATTTCTCATGTAGTCATTTTTAAGGTACTTTGTACTTAGTTAAGTATCTCGTTTTGGTCATTAGACAGTACTTAGAAATCCGAACAAATATAACAATAATTGCTTTCGCTCCAGACATTAGGAAATAAGTGATGTCTCAATCTAGGACTTTACTTACTTTAAAGAGGAGTCTCCAACACCAAGACATCCTCTCAGACTAAGTTGTCTCAGGAACCCACCACACCTTTTCGAAATATTTTCCACAACACGACCCTTAAACCAGATAAAAGGAAGATTTTGTTGAGATTTATTCTGACATAACATTCTAACCAAATTTAAAATGCCAGGAGTGAAGACCAGCACCAGCTACGCTCCACCAGAACTACACCTCTATGAATTGCTTTTGCTACTTTAAGAAAAAAAGTTACCTGTTGTGAATCTCCACTCAGATTGAAGTCAACTCAATCCTCAGTTCTCTCTTCCTTTTTTCAGTCTATTACACGACTCAATTTTTTGCCTCAGCAAAACCTACCCAATTAAGACTGCTAAAACGACCTTCAAGTTCTGTCAGACGTGCCACCTGCCAATCTTCAACATCATATATATTTGGGTGTCTGTTCCTAACACTTGGGAATGCTAAAGGACTTCTCGCACTGTGGAGCTTACAGACTTTATGACTCATTATTTATCAAAAGCTGAAGCATAATTTACAAACAAAACTTCCTACTTAACCCCAAATTTGCTACAAAATGCTTTTTATTTACATCCTGAAAGTGCATTTTGCTGTACATTAGGAGTAAGTAGAGTGGCAATGGCATGGGACTTCAAATATTCAATCCGAAAGTACTATGACGGAAAAATGTTATTTAAATAACTTTTTTTTTTTGGGGGGAGGGGGGGGGTAGGAAAAAGAAAAATAAGATAGTAAAAAGCAGGTGGCCACTGCAAAAACTGACTAGACATCACCTTGTATCTAATTTTAGGGAGGTAAGGTAAAAGAATTCAACACTGATCATTTAACAAACAGGACTAATACTTAACAGTATATCTCTGATTTTCTTCCCTCTCTTTTCAAGAAATACTTATAAAATTACAGATCAGAGGGGTGGGGTTTTTTGTTGTTTTCCTCTATATACAGGATGGTAACAATTTTACTGAAACAGTAAAATGTTTCTTACCTTTTGTTGTTCACCTCTACTACCAAAGTCCTGGCTAGCACTATGTGAAAATATTTTCTTATCAGAGCTTGTTTCTTAGTCCATAAGTAACATTGTTTATATTATCTCTCAGAAGAATTTACACCAAAACAAGCAAACTGAAAATCATTATGCAAACAAAATTATGTATTTCTTAAAGCATTCCAATTAGTCAGAATTATTTCTCAATAGAGGCCAAGTACCTTTATTGTAAGGATAAAGTCTTCAGTGAGTAACATACAATGCAAGTTCAATCTACACTGCAGAAAAAAGCCAAACCCTAATGTGTTATTCAAAGTAAAAAGAAATAATGAGATGTTTTGTAAATCCATGTAATTCTTTAGGCACATAAAAAAACCCCAACAAACAGCATATTCAAAAAGTCAACTTAAGCGCATTCAAATGTGCTTAGCTGTGTGAATAATTCAATGTCACTCAAAAAACTAGCTCTTCAAATTACTCCAGCTTACGCTTGGTTCCACATACCAAGAAATCCTAAGGCACATTTAACTTTAGGAAGATCTTTGCACATCTTTGTAACAGAAAAGAAACATTTTTTCTTTATAGTGTTGGTTTATTTCCCCACTTTATTCTCTACCACATGGGGTCTTAAATACGGAAAATTTCACAACAAAACTTAATTTTTCTTTATTTGACAGTCTCAGAGCAAGTACTGATTGATGCTATGTGAAACATCACCAAATAGTACAACACCCAACTGAGCAAAAAGGTGCCATTAGCAGCTTTTACCTGTCCTAAAAGCATAAGAAAAAAAAATAATTACTAAAACAGCTGAAGAAAAAACAGAGTTCTTAAACACCAGATGTGAAAGTGTATCTCGTTCAAAACTACTTTATGTAGTAATTGCTGGTTTAGCATACTCTTATGGATAAATGTAAGGGGTTTATATTACAAATTTATTTAAATATAATATACTGAAGTAACTGAATTGCTCCAAACCACAATAACTTCCTATAGCAAAAGAGGCTTATGGCTTAATTTCATTCCTTCTCCTGAATCCCATGCTACAAACGTAGCATCTCAAAGGGCAACACCACTAGGTACAATGCAAGACAAACCCCGAAAACAGAAAAATTCAATACTATGTTTCTAAATAGCAGTAAGGTTTCAGACACAGAAAAGGCTAACCAACAGAAGGACCACAGACCTGTGGGGTTTTATTATTTCTTAGCAAATGAGAAACAAGCTTTTTTTAAAGGCAACTGAAAAGATTATAATAAAGCTCCAAGTCTTCTTAGACACATTTCGATAGAGGCAGATGCCAAAAATCTTTCTCCTACTTCTGTAAGATCCTCACGTTTAACTTCAGGATAGCAACGGAGTTGGCAATAAAATTTTAAAAGAGCGGTGAAAAAAATTTACCCTATATATTACTGTAAAGCTTTAGGAACAGTTTGAACCACGGTTAGCAAAATATACCAAATGAAATCCATCTGGATTTTATTCATGGAACTAAGAAACTAAAATATAATAATCAAGAAGCAAATTCATTATTGTATTCTAAATTTAATTTGTATCATCAGAAAACAAATATTAAACCAGTTCAGATTCAATTAAGGAACTGTATTTTCCCATGGATTTTCATCTTAATTTTCAGATGTCATCTTTTATTTTGTTACGCACATCTATGATAGTATTATTGCAGACATGGCTTTCTTACAGAAGACAAGATTGCCCTAATCCTTTCATTATATGCTGAAAAGGACTTTAATCCACATGTAGCTCCATTTCAGGCAAGGTTCAAACCTTATAAAACAAATATTCAGAAGACGGTAATCAGACACACACCAAACCAAATCTAGGCAAGTCAGCAGTAAGAAAAGTTGTTCAGCATTTTATTGTTTCAATCTCCAAGTCCTACAGTCAAGTGTCCAGAGAGCTTTCAGCACTAGATGGCACCCTCACAGAGAGACCAAGCAACAAAATTACCCTCTAGTTCGTGGAAGTGATTTGGAGGATCTCACTCCATCCAGAGGCACCATTTATACCTTTAGTTTCTGGAAATGAGCAGCTCTGAATTTCTAGAGCCCTGAATATGTATGATATAATGTAAATTATCTGATACATAGCTGGCAACCAAAATTGAAATATCATCCAGTGCAAAAAATGGAAAATTCAGAGTTCTTATTCCATTTGTTCTTTCACAGTATTATTATCTTGAACTTTAGCCTTTAAAACGTGTGAATGCAAGCACAGGCTATGGGATATTCAAAATGGGCTATGCTCTTAAAAATCACCATAGGAATGAAAAAACCCCAAAGACACTAACCTCTATATCCGTTTGAAAGTTAAAGAGGTCTATGCGTTGCCAATTGCTTCCATCCAGCGCTAAAACATTCCATGCCTACAGAAAACAAATACAGTTTATTTACTATCTCCATTGCCTGCTCCCTTCATTTGACTCTCAGCAATTCAAAGATAACAAACTCAAATATAAAAATATATCCTTTCAGGTAGCATTTTTCAAAAAGAAACATAATTGTAGATATTAGTACTCATAAAATATCAACTAGTTAAAAACATAGAATTTGTAGAAATTAATCTCATATCTCCCAAATGGATTACCCTTCAAAGGCTAATTTATGCCCATAAAACATGCAGGAAAGCAAGAAATTCAATGTAAAGTACATACACGGACACATTTATCCCTCCATTAAAAAAAAAAAATAAATTTGTAAATTTTTGTAAATTTGTCTAGTAAGTTGATTTTGCTAGATCTATATGGAGAAAAGTAACTTCAGATGAGATTCCTTCCAACAAAACCACAGTTCCTCAGCCTCACTAGTTACTATTCTGAGAGGAACAGAAACCTCTCAGAAAACTGCTAACTTTCCACTGTTAGGATCAGGCCTTTCCTTTACACGCACTGAGTTACGTGTGTGTGCTTCAGAATGTCCTTCACTATCAAAGCAACAGTTGTGCAAAGTAAAACAAAATTAAGAAGTCAGAGAAAGACAAATATACTCAGAAAAGCAGAAAATAAAAGAATACTGCATCCAACTAACAGGTAGTTCTGAGAGAAAACCACAACTTATTCAATCACCTTGGTTTTCTTCCACTATATTCTAGGTTTTAGCTGAAGGTTCTAAGAAAACCTGGTATTAGCTCACAAAATCTACTGAAGCTGCACGCCAAGGTGATAAAGGTGTAGGAATGAAATTGTTACACAATTATACATTAAATCCAACAAACATACAAGCAAAAAATTCAATCAAAAAAACCACCCCGAACCAATGCCCAATCCTCATTAAAAGGAGGAAGAAAAACATGAAATAAAAAAGTTCATTCATGTTGTATCAGAATACATTTCATTGTACACACTTGATGTAGGAACAGACTATCTTCATTTTAATTCAAGCAAAAAAAAATAAATCAAGACGAGCTAAACATAAAAGCTTATTTACTGTGCTTTCTCTATTCTTCTGTGTGCCTTTTTCCCCTACTAGTAGTCCATCTACTTAACACCTTTTGTACTTGGCAAGCAAACGATGGATATACTTCTTAGACACATGGTGCACATTAACCGAACTACATGGAATTTTAAGCAGAAAATGCGTCTGAAAAATAGTGTTACAGCCACATGTTTTATAAAAAGCAAATGCCATTATGCCAAACTGGGCTTAATCCTTTCTCCAGATATAGAGCATACACTGCTGGATATCTTTTCCATAGCCTTTAAACAGAAGTCCAGTACATAGCAACTAATTCCACATCTGAATGCAAAACTGGACTCACTGTTTATTTGTTTTAATAAACAAAGAAGCTGAGAGAACTATTTGATTTTTTTTGACAGGAAGCAGATTGCTCTGAAGTCCATGATTTGCAAGTAATTAAGAAAATAGGTTCCCAAAGAATAACAAAAAACCCCAACAGAAACACATACCTTGGAAACTTGTGCACATCGACACAAAGTAACTATGTCCAAGAATGAAAATATTCTAGGAAGAAAGGAAAAGAATAACAATTAGAATGTTTTATTATAAATTCAGAGTAATGCACGGATTCACAGTTCTGTAGTTCTGTGGAAAGATACCAGTTACACAAGAGGCAAGTTGAATGCAACTATGAGTGTTTTACCAAATTATTTTACTTATTAAGATTTCAGGAATAATATCATAGCTATCATCTAAAGACAGTTAACACCAACATATTAGAGCAGCAAGTGCTTCTTCTGAAAATCTACTTTGTGTTTCCCCCTCCTTACTACCCAAGCATGAATGGATGATAACAATTTTTTTTTCTTTTTTTTAATTCATACCTTTAATTGTGCTACAATTAAAGAAATAACTTAAACAAATACAGGCGAAGATTTCAGACCCTGGTGAAGAATAAGAGATGGAAAACAACACATAGATCCTTGAACTTGGATTTAACTAAGTACCAACACAAGGAGCAGTGACCCAAACTTCTAAAGGGGTTTGATAGTGATTACTAAGTCTAACACAATCACTGTCTTTTTTCAATTCAGCCTGCAAGAAACAACTACAATTCAAAATTTACCATTGCTATTCTGATCATGGAACCAATTTCTCAAGGCTGACAATTCTTAATAGTTTTCTGAAATAAATTTTTCACTGTCAAAATGAATTTTGCTAAATACCGTATCCAAACAACAATGAAACAGGTTCAAAGGCTGTTCTCAGTGGGAAAAAAAAGAATCATTACCTTAAGCATAAAATATAGACCCTATTCCAAAATAATTTTCTATTACAGAGAATGAAAGATATGAAATATATTACTGTAATTCACTTATGAACTGTTACCTGCTCATGAATGAACTTTTTCGGTCATCAAAACAACAAACAGTAATAATAACAATTTCATTTTATAGTGAGATGTTAACACTGAGAAGAAAACACAACTGGTAACAGAGCCTGAATTGAATCACGTAAAATTCTGAGTACTGTTTTCCAAGTGGAAACCTGGAGTTAAAGCTCAAAATGGATGCCTACATCTTAAGGGCTGTAATTTTTAGCTGAGGCAAGAGTCAAAACATGTAACAGAAGTTAATGGACGTGCTTCTTAAGCATATCAGCCTTCTGAACCTTTATTATGATCGCTACAGATATTAGGTTTCCAATATTTTATTAACACATGAAAACACTTTTTCACTATATAGCGATATATTTTCTCAAAGGACTATTAGCCATGCAAACAGAAGGACAGACATTCTCAGAAGCTAGGAAACAATACATAAAACCCTGTCAATAACATTTATTTTGATAGCTTCTATTTTGTCAACTGAACATCCATTCTGAGGTCTGCCTACTATAAGAAACTTAGCAGTGTTTCATACACAAAGTACACATGTAATGGGCTCAGCAAGGCTGTTCAGACGAGCACGGAAAGAGTTCTCTCTCTTTTAAGAGCAGCATTTATATCAATGACCCACCATGAACCCTTTTCTGAAGTCACCTTTCCCCCCACCATGAGGCAAATGACAGAAGATGTCATTTCTGTAATGGAGATTAGAGAGCTGGAAAAGCTTCTTGGCTTGTAGAAGCCTCCTCTCATAGTAGCACTGTATGAGTGGAATCAGAGGGTTATCTTAGATCTACAAAAGCCAAAGCACAAAAGACAGATTTATATGTTACTTGTAACTAAGAAAGGAAGGGTTGTGACAAACCATTTCATGACACAATACTCTTGCCTAAATGAAGAACGTGACATGCTTTAGAAGCAATGTATCAAGTTCTACTGAAATAAGAAATAACAGAAGGAATTGTAAGATGTTGAAGAAAGGGTATTTTACACACCCCCACTACTCTGAGTTGTCTGGCAGTCTGTCTTCATGTTTGACTGTTTATTGCTGTCAGGAGATTAATGTTGATGCGTGATTTCTGCTAAAAAAGCAAATTAAAACCAAACAAAGAACAGATGTATTTATTTTTGCTCCATTCTGTATGAAGTGACTTTTGAAAAAGTGAAAAACTAAAAGTGGTCATTCTATGTTAAAAGGAGAAATATTTTAGTAAGTGTAAACATTCATGATGCTTTTAGTTCTTTTATTTTTGTTCTAAAGAAAAAACTTTTTTGCAAGGCGGCCCAAGCTGTTCCCATAAAACAGATGACAACATTAAGATGTGTTATAAGCCAGCAAAATCAGAATGATTATTATTCAATTAAATACTAAGATAGGCAAGAGACACCAGCAAATTCTTCTACAATTCCTAAGAGTCATTTTGCCAACTTGCTTGAAAATATTTTTTCCATTCTTTTGTATTTATTTATCTTCTATAATACAGTTTTACATGCAAATCACTAACGCACAGTTGCTTCTCTACCTGCAGTCCTGAAGAACTACTAGCAAATACTTACCAGTCAGGGAAACTAGTCAGCAAGTCACAAGACTCGAAGGTTTGAAGTCACTTAAAATCCTTAAAAGACTTTAAAGCCTTTAAATGCAACCAACAAACTGAGACAGAGATGGCAACACTGCCATTGTCAGACACCAACACTGTCTGGCACTTTGGGTGAAGGACTATGTCAGCAGGCATTTATAATTTTTAAAAGTGGAAAAAACTACCAAGTAGGGCAGCTGATGGCTGTATAGCCCTTCTGTCCTCTCCGACCATAGCTATGTAGATGGAAGCTAATGCAGCCAGCAGCAGGATTAATTTCCACTTAAGTCTTTGGCATGGATTAATACAAGGGAAACTGGAAATTAACAGATCCACAGTAAAGTTTTAGGAGCATCCAGTTTGATTTCCTGTATCCCACACTATTTTTCCATAGTTATCTTGTATTGAGCTCAAGAAGGAGAATCTGCTTACCAACAATCGGAGACCTTCAAGACTTCTCATCCCTAGGCAGATACCCCTCTGGACACATGCCTCATGAGCTTGGTCTTGGAGGCCTATCACTGTTAACAGTACCTGCAGCACACATGAGCTTCATGGCAAAGGCACAAAGGTTTGTACAAACTCACAGCTCCTTTATGGTAAATCTGTATTTGGCTAAAGCCTAACCTCCAGAAAAGGATCTGGCCTTGATATGAAAGCCTTCAAGAAATGGAAAATCACCACCTTCTCTGTAATTTGTTCCACTGGTTAATCTGTTAAAATATTTGCCTTCTTTCCAAGATGAATGTCTGACTTTCAGCTTTCTTCTTTTTTCTACTTTTCTTCACCAAATTAAAGAGTGCTTTAGCAGTTAGTACTTTCTCCTCATTGAGTTCTAAGGCCACTTATCATGTCATGTTTAATTCTTCTTTTTAACAACCTTTTCACTTTAGTTCTTTAAATCTCCTCTCCTCTGCACATTCTTCATTTTCCCAATATGCTTCTCAAATGTAGACATCAGAAGCGTGTGCAGCTTTAAAAGTGTTACTAGTATCAACAAAGCTGTACAGAGACATAAAGTATGATTTCACTACTCTTGCTTTCAGAGCCATTTCAGGCCAGCCTAACAGCCTTTTTGACACAGCATCAGAAAATAAACTCATCTTACCAATTTCACCCTCACATCCTCTTCTGGAACTACACACTCCAGGCATTACCTCTTTCTGTAACATTCCTTAGTCCTGTATATCTATCCACATAAAATTAATCTGTAAAAATTATCTTGTTTGAACACACTCTAATTTATCATGTTACTCGGACTTCTTGGGAGAATGCCTTGTCTTCACAGTAGTTTACCATTAAGGTTCTTTTTGTGTCATCTGTAACTTCAATCTTCAGAAGCAGTGATTTCCAAAACATTGAATTAAAAAAGAAATAGAAAAAATTTGGTCTACCTGTTAATTGCTAACCAATCCTGAATCCCTTTAACATGCACGGATATACTGTACAGTGCTACTTTTAAAATGAAAAGGTAAAATGTTAAAGTTAAATGCTTAAGTAGATACATGTAATTTTGGTTGGTAAAGCAAAACAATGGTTTAATCTCCAAGAATGATATTGTCCAATCACTTACTTTCCACAAAATCTCAACTGTCAGTTATATACCTTTCTCTCGAACAGATCTATGATGAGGTTTTCTTCCACTGCATACTGAATATTAGGCTGAGATTTCTGGTAATCTCTCCCTTGCCTAGATAAAAAGCGTTGCAGTCAGGATTCATACTCTTCTAGTCTTCTGGAATTTTCTTGATACCCAAGATTCACCATTACTCAGCATAAGAGGGCCACAAACCTCCTAACTCACCTTTTTAAGGCATTTTCACTGCAATTTATATGGTCCCGACAACTACAAGAAGTGATGATCTACAATCATCATGCCATAAATAGACTGTTCTGTGTCGTTTCAAACACAGAGATGACTACCTCCTAATATTTTGTTTCCCTCCCCATGGAGCCACAAAAAGAAACAGCTATTTCTCAAAACCCCAGCACTGTACAGCGTGCCACCTACAGAGTGAGAAATCAAACTGTGCAAGAGTCAAACTGGTTCCCTCTTGCCTTTGCAAGGCCCTTCCAAATTTGATCATGTAAGGAATAAGCTTTTGCAGTAACAAACTGGCAACTATTCATTTTAAGTATTTTGATACAAAACTATATTCATTGATAAAAATTGGATAACAAAATGCATAAAGCACCACACTTACACTGTGACTTCCTGAACATTTTTCCCAAATCCCAAAATTTGATATGACAGAAATGCTTGATTATTTCTAAAAAGCTTCAGCAAAAACACAAGTTGGGATTTTTTTTCAGTAACTGACTTGTGAGTGGAATTCTATTGCAGAACTTCTATTTTTCATGTCTTTTAAATTTATAGTGGCTTTGCCAAAATGAAAACCAAAATACTAAGGGACGAGAAGACTGCAGATCACCTAGATAATCTGCTCAGAAGATCCTTTCAACTTTACCACACCATTTGGTTGTTACAAAACAAGCACACGACCGATTTGTCATGTCTCCAGTTTTAGACTATGAACTTCTTAAGGGACTTCAAAATTGATTTGTACAATTCCTTGCATAGCAAACCCACTCTTGTG